ATCCTTTTGCATTCTTCATTTACTTTGTTATAAATATTTTACTGCGATGATTTCTGTTAGCATAACTTCTTCACAATTCAATGTTTATCAATCAATACTGCTAGATCAATATATGTTACTGTATATATATGAAATGTAATTTACCTTATCATAGAGAGAAGAGCTTATGATGGGAAAAAAGATTGAAGAATTTGTTGTTGAGTTAACTGAAAAAAACACAAACTTTCTCTTTTAAAAAATTAATTGCAACATTTCATGACAAATAAGGTAGCTATTTGTCAATTAGAAAAAAATTAAGAAAATTTAGTTTGTGATTGTGCAATGTTTGTTAGATAAAGTGTTGGAGAGATAGAAGAGATGGAAAAAGAATCGATCCGTGCAATGTCCCACAAAAATTTTTCAATTTTACATGAGAATTATCATTTGCAGAAAATGAAAAAATTGAAATGGAAAAGATTGATTGATAGATAGAAAAGATGAAAATCAATCCATTCAATCGAATAGCTAACGTCGAATTCAATCATTTCAGTTCCTTCTAAATAGACCGTTATTGCAACAAATAAAGAAAATTGATGCTTAAAAAAATTTCCGATTTTTCACGAAGTTTTAATTAAAGGGAAAATTTAAATTTATTGCTAAAAGTAGTGGTCTTAAATGAAATTGATAGCACATAAAGTTCCTGAATTAAGGCAAATATAATGAGGAGAAATTGAAGTTTTTTTTTTCAGTCATTACTTCTAAAAAATTAGAGAAAAGTAATGATGAAATCAGGAAGGAAGATCGACTATTAGTTGAACAGATTGAATGCTTTCTGATATCTCTTAGAGAATCTTTCATGTCACGACTAGTTTGATGTAAAAAATTAAAACTAGGTTTCTTCCTTCTTCACTATTAAACTTTTTTAAGATATAACAACGTTTTCCGCGGGAATTTTCGGGCTGTAATTTTGATAACATCAAAGAAAAAACGCTTTAATAAGCAATTAATTTCATTTATGTCTACTTCAAGTTAAATTATCATTCGGAGACCTCTGAACTTCATAACATTTCAAGCGAAATTTGAATAGCTATCAATCAATCCGATTACAAGTTGAGGAATGAAGCTCAAGTGTTTGCTTTTTTTATTACCGCTAGCAATAGACTTTTCCTGATCATGTCAAAATTTGTTCCGGATAGCGCTTATGAACGTACAATACAATAATAAATTTAGCAATTTGCTCAATTTTTGTTTGAAAATTGTGAAATACTCAATTTCATTATTAGTTAATTAGCAATCTAATTGAGTGCAATCCTTGATTTCCATAACTACCACTCATTATTACTCTCTTGTTTACTCACTATTGCTTACTCTTTTGCTGGTTAATAAGTAAAACCACGATCTGCTTGATTGGACGTACAATACATCCGTTTCCAATTTAAATCTTACTCGTACATCTCGATTTTTATAACTCTCAAAGTTAAAAGTGGTACTGTAAATTTGAAAAAGCAAAAATATGTCTTTATATTGAATTTGTATCAGTTTAAATTATTTGAAGAGAGTTTTCCATCTCTAGCTGCATATATTCATTTTCAGGTTCAAGATGCAAGCTGTTTATAGCAAAGATCGTCAAGATAATTTAACGATGAGAATGAACCGACAATGTAAGATAGCAGTTGATTTCATTACAGTATATTATCATATTATCATATCACTATTTGCAGAATGACTAAGATTTACGCTGTTTGATTGTTTTCACGGTTCTGTCCGTTCGGAGAAGATTTCGGGTGTCGCACTTTTTATTTCTGCCTTTGTTACATTCTCTTTTGTACGGTTCTTAAATTTTCGATTATTACTTCCATTTGTTTGTAAGCTTTTGATGGATAAACTTTCCATTCATATAGTAATAAATATACTTGGTTTCAGAGCTTTCCACCTTCAACGATTAAAATTGGCAATTTTTTTGGTTGTTGAACTTTCCGATACATTGCATGAATAGAGATTCACTGATGAATAGAGCCAATTTCAGAAGTGCCATGCATGCATCCATTGACTGAGGAAATGAATTTTGAATAGCATGGATTTTAGAGATCAATCAATCCATAGCCGCAAATTTCGATCAATTTGTTTTTTTGTTTTTCGGAATCAAGAATTAAAATAAGCCATTAGTCAGTGTGGAAAAGCTAAGGTTCCTTAAAATTACACGGAGCAATTATTTTATTCATTTATCCACGAAAGTTTTTCAATTCATAAGTGGGATCAATGACAATTCCCTTAATTCTACTCGCATATTTTCCATAATTTTAAAGAAACAGATAAATTCAAAACTTGTGGACAAAAAAGTCCTAATTGAAAATATCACAAAAATTTTTGTATTCATAAATTACTTAAACAAAATTCATGTAATGCTGCTTAATGCTAAATACTTTTCCTTACTTTTTCTATTTTTCGAACTTCTTCATCATTTGTTTCTACTCGAGCTCATTGCTAAACTATACGAAGTCGGGATTGCTTCGAGAGATTTACTGATTTAATCATATAACTTCACAACTAAAAAATTGTGTTACTTCTTTGGCGGTATTTTCACATAGCAAAAGTTTTGCTAAGTTCGTCGAGAATTCATTATGATTATTGGTTTTTATGATCTAAATTTATATTTGAGCGAAGTTATTACAATCTAATCTTTACTGTGTATTCAATGGATGATTTGAAGCCTGATAAATAAATTTAGATTTGTGTAAATTTGATATTCTGTATAATATAAGTAAAAGGAATATATCATATAACATCATATAAGAAAAGGAGACAAGTGCGCCACACAGCACTACATTCATACAAAGGTTTCCATACGATGTTTAATTGCTCTAAATTTACATATGCGAAAAAAAACCCTATTAAAGAGAACAATTTTAATCAAGTACTAACACTTCTAAGCTGTTTTTGTCTTCGGAAGAAACGGTTGCTCATTCAGAAAAATGGAAAGGTATTCATTAATTTTTGATGAAAAATCATAAAGGAATCCTAAATTACAATCCTTGATGACAAAGATCAAATTCATTTAAAATAAAAATCTCGGTATTTTTTTGAAATGAAATTTAGCTTTCAGAAGGATTATTAAAACCAATACATAAATATTTTTTTACCTGTAGCTTCATTCGCTTACTTTAAACTAAATTACTTTGTTGGAAAAATCAGTATTTGGTTCAAATATCCCAGTTTAACTAAATAGTTCTTAAATAAACCTTACGATTATTTGAGATTTCAGTTTATGCACATCAATTTTACTATCTTAACGTGAATTTCATTTACGAGGATAAAGTTTCATGAAAAAAAGTTTAGCAAAAAAATTTATTCTGAAATTTTCAAAATTAGTGGGAATTTGAATGGTAGCAGAATCCTTTATACAATAGAACTGATTAATGCAACACAAATGGCTCTTCCTACTATCATTCTCACTTTGCTTATTTTCTTGGAGGTTACTTTTCGTCGCTTATTTTTTAAATTTTCAAATGAATTCTAATCTTTTCTACGATATTTCATATACACATGTAGCAGGAAAGAATAACAAAATATATATTATTTTTTAATTTAGATTATTTGGTTATAATTGCATTTATATTCTTAACTTATAATTATTGGTGTGAGCGGAAATATAAGTACAATATAAGCTTGTTAATCTAAGCATTGCCTCACTTCTTTCTCTTTCGACAAAACATAAAACTAAATTTACAAATTTCATTAGTGAAAAACATTAACTACTGTCTCCTGTCTCAGATAACACTGGCGATATACACATTGGAATATGTAAAAAATTTTATGAACAAATCAATTAAACACTTGCTATCAATAAATGAAAAATTGCTTGATATAGAAAACATACAGCAAGTACATTTAAATATATCTGTAAATCCATCCTTAACTGAAGTCATAGGTCAAAAAGAAAGCGTTTGATAATAACAATCAATATTGAGCGAACTAAGGTTGATGGAAATTTTATTAAGTCTTAGTATGGTTAAGTTATTCAATAAATCCTAATTGAATTTACTGAATAACTTAAAGTCAAATATATAAATGCAATTATTGTTCAAATAGGGAAGTGAAACAAAAAATTTGCGCTATTCAAACACAATATGAATTTTGTTTCTTTTCTCTTTCTCCTTCAAAATACCATTGCATACTTACATAGTTCAATTATTTCTGCTGGAATTTCTCTTTGATTTATAATAATGGTATATCGAAATACTCCATTATTATTAATTATCAAATTTTTATTTAAAATTGCAAATCATCTTGGAACACTTTTGAAGATAAGCCAAACAGTTATGGATGGAGCGAGAAATGAAATTCAACAATTCAATGAGGGAATCAAGAAGACCAGTGAAGCATTAATGAGTAATCAAATATTATTTAAAGTTGGTTCTTGAAGTCGATTTTAATTCACATACTTGAAGTAGGTATTGTATAAGAGGAAAAGAAGTTTTCAAGCCATTTGATTTTACAGATAGGTGTATAACGCCCATTAGACACAGGTCCCTTGGATTTCATTAACTTAAAGAGAATTGGGTTTTGTGCTCGAAAGAGAAAATGAGTCTACTGACAAACACTCTCTCTAAAGCTACTACAGAGGAAAGAATTAAAGCGCCCTTTATACCGAAATCTCTTTGCAGCTGTTAGTGGATGAAGAAATCAATCGCGAAACGATGAAAATGATTTATGGCTTGAGAACTTCATGAGAATCAAATATTTGTCACATATTTTCCTTCTCTTCTTCCTTCTAAAGAAATAAAGATATAATGATGGATAGCAACCTTTATTTTATAATTCATATAAAAACAGAAAAAAAACAGGAGTTGGAAAGTAAAAAAGTTATGAGTAAATTAGTTCAAAATCTCCTCTGCGCCATTCCTATATCTGCTATCAATGGAAGAGTGTCAGCTGTAATAGCTGGTGGGATTGCTTATTTTCATGTCGGGTAATGTCATCGTTCGTTAAATCTTGAGTCGTAGGCGCTAATAGTCTATATGATGGTTATTGTGGCTGGTGATGAAGATCGAGGAAAGACATCATCGGGTCAGGATGATCACTCCGGTGTATTGCTTGCACTTCAGAAGTATCAGGTACACTTAAAACAATAATTTTTACACTATGTTTTACCTGTCGGCAACTCGAAACAGCGGGAGGTTTATGTAGTATTTCATTACTGTTTGATGAATAAAAGGGCTTATTAATACCTGGAAATCTATGACATCTGCTTTGGACATGTTTCACCCTAAGTGTATGCATAATTTTCGTTCATATAAATTTTATTTTACTGAGATATTTGCAGGCAAGACGTAAACAAATTGAAGAGGAGGAAGCACGGAGGCGTCGGGAAGGCCTTTTATCAGATGAAGAAGACGCTAGCATGGATGATGTCTTCATTCCTGCTAGACTACGGAAGAAAGAAAAGGTAATTTTTATTTAATTATATGAATCCTGAATACTGACTTTTAAATAAGTTCAAGTCAAAACTCTTCAGCTCTTCGCAACTCTCTTTTTATACTCAAAGCCTTATTTATGCTTAAGTTCTCAAATATTTTTCAATCTTTTTACTTTAAAGCATAAAAAAGTTCCTGATTCAAAAAAAAAAAACTTCCACAATTGATTTGGTATTGCTGCAGCAACATTATATAGTTTTGCCCAGTTTTTTCTTTCAGTTATGCATTTTATTTTTTCTATTTGCGCATATATTAGTGAGGACTTTAAGATGCATCGAACAGCTCTGTTAAAACAAGTATTGCATGCAAAAGGTGGTGCTCCAAACGTGGACACAGAAAAGGAAGATTTGGAGTTTTTGGAGAGGAAACGACGGAAGAAAGAGGAGGAAAGGAAAGCAGAAGAAGCGAAAAAATCACTTCTCGAAAAACATAATGAGCTTTTGGAAGCAGATATTGGTAAGTACCTAAAGCACTTCTAATATTTTAGCCGGATTTTTTAATTCAAATTTTTAAATTCTTTTTCAGGCGACAGAGATTCAGAAAAAAGGAAACAAGAGGAGGAGCAGAAACTGCTGGAAAGTGTCGCGCCTGGAACAGGTAATAATGTTTCGTTGCTCCTTAATATATATATATACAGAATGGAAATACATATACTTTATATATATTTCCAGCAGTGAATGGAAATATATAAATAATATATATTTTCATTCTTTGGTATGAAATCTTTCAATATCTATTAATTTTTCAGCTCTCATGGCTGTCGCTGAAATTGCTAGAGGTGTCAAGTATGAAGAATCAATTAAGACAAGGTGCCATACTGTATAATTGTTATGCTAGTTAAATTGCTCTCATTGAATCTTTCAAAAAAAGTTTTCTTACAAAAAATTTATTCAGTTGGCGTCCACCCCGCCATATATTAGCGGTGAGCGATAAGGAGCATGTAGCAATTCGCCGGAAGAAAGGAATTTTAGTGGACGGTGATAGTGTACCTCCTCCGATTGGAAGTTTCATTGTTAGTTTTTTGAAGCTTTTCCTCATTCTCCTGTTAAATAAAGCAATCTACGAAGAAATTTCCGCTGTCTAAATGTCTGTAATATGAATTCTCTATATCAAGTTTGGGTAATCAACTTGGTAAAAAAATGTAGAGAACCCAACATTCAGAAGATGGAATCGATAAAAGATGTTTAGATACGAAAATTTCTTCTGAAATAGCTTTTGGATTTTCAGGAAATGAAATTTCCTCCTCCAGTTATCAAAGCTTTACGAGATAAAAAGATCATTTGTCCAACTGTTATCCAAATGCAAGGAATACCAGTTGCGTATGTTTTCTTACGTTTTTGTGATTTATCGTTTATTGTCTTGGAAGTTGTTTAGCTATTGTAGCACGAATAGTTTGACAAAGGTTCATTAATCGACGGATCATTCGTTCTTCTACTAACATTACAAAACAATTATTGGATAATATACTAGTCATATTGTCATTTCTTGCATGGTAATGAAGATTGTCGAATTTGAATTTTTCAGACTTTCAGGACGCGATATGATAGGTATAGCTTCAACTGGTTCTGGTAAAACTTTGACATTTGCATTACCGTTGATTATGTTTTGCTTGGAGCAGGAAGTATCTCTACCATTCCGACATGGCGAAGGGCCATATGGTTTGATCATTGTACCTTCGGTAATTTTCAACAGTTTGTACTAATATGCTTTGACTAATTGAATATATGGAGGAAAATTATTGCCACAACTTGATGATAAAATGAAGGTGCTGATTTTTCTAATTTATTTATTCCCTTCAGCGTGAGCTAGCAAAGCAGATTCATGACGTCATCGAAAAGTTGTTTGAGAATATTTGCGATGACACGAAATTTCCCAGACTTCGAGTTGGTCTGTGCATTGGTGGGTTACCAATTAGTGAGCAGGCAAGAGTTTTTGAAAGGTACCTTTTGATTTATGTGTTTAATAAATCCAGAGAATAATTTCTTGCACTGTGGAAAATTTTTCATCTATTATGGTATGGATTTCCAGAGGTGTTCATGTATGTGTTGCAACACCTGGTCGTTTATCAGACTTATTAAGCAAAAAAATTTTCAATTTACAAGTCTGCCGGTATTTGGTATTGGATGAAGCAGACAGGATGCTTGATATGGGTTTTGAAGAGGAAATACGGACTATATTTTCATTCTTCAAGGTATTCTTGGATTTTATGCTTTATATGGAATCTTCATCTTATCGAAGTATCAAGAATTTCAAGCATAACTGAGTTAAGTAAATTTTAGATTATTGCACTAGTATTAACAGTTTCTTTTCTCTAGTTTATTGAATTTTTTAATCGCATCTCATTGCAACTTGTTTTTTATCAAGTATTGTCTGTGTTTAGGGTCAGCGGCAAACTTTGCTCTTCTCAGCTACAATGCCTCGTAAAATACAGAACTTTGCTCGATCAGCTCTGGTTCGTGCTGTGATTGTAAATGTTGGACGTGCTGGTGCCGCATCACTGAACGTTGTTCAGGAAATTGAATATGTTCGAGCTGATGAGAAACTTACTAGGATACTGGATTGTTTGCAGAAAACAGCTCCAAGGTAATTTTTTTTTAATGTTTTGTTTTTTCAGGTAAGATATGCATGTTGGATAAGTTGACTATTTGATAATTACAAAGCCGTTTGTACACTTCTCAAATATTTTTATGCGAGCTTTACAAGAAATGATATACTTGCGAAAGATATCGTCTTTTGACTTGTCGTTTGAGCTTCATTGTTGATTTAAAGTTACGAAATTATGGAGTCGATTAGAATTCAGATTTCTTAAATCAGGAAATTAAGGGAACATTATGCAACCTGCTTTCGTAATTTGAACAATTTTTTCATAAAAAAATGAGTTAGTCACGAATAGTAGAATCCTGGTTATTATTTTTTCTATCACATTAAGATTTAAACATAATTTTTTGTCGCTTGCTGTTAATAATTGATTTTTTACGCTTTATCTACTTTTTTAGAGTTTTAATATTTGCGGAGAAAAAGAATGATGTGGACAATATTTATGAATATTTATTGGTAAAAGGAATTGACGTGGCTTCCTTGCATGGCGGGAAAGGCATGTTTTTGATTATTTGGTTATTTAATAATCAGTTTTTGCTTTAGAAATGAAGTTAGAAGCTTTGTCCCGAATTTTCTTTGAAACTCTGAACGACATCCATATTTTGAGTTGAGAAGACCTGGTTGTAATTTTAGACCAAAAGGATCGTTATACTGGGGTCGATGCCTTCAGGAGAGGCGAAAAAGATGTTCTGGTAGCAACTGATGTTGCTTCGAAGGGTTTGGATTTTGAAAATATCCAGCACGTAATCAATTTCGATATGCCTGAAGATATTGAAAATTACGGTATCTTATTTTTTTGCAGATTTTAGCAGCTGTGACATTTCATATCAAGTGTCTGATTTCTGCATTTAATGTTTATTTCATTTTTGAAAAATTTTGTATCAGTAATTTACCCATATTATTTTTTCTTCGCTTTAGTGCATCGCATTGGTCGTACAGGACGTTCTGGCCGGAAAGGGATGGCGACAACTTTCATAAATAGAAGAGCAGGTTAGCTTGAATTTGAATTTTCAAGAGCAAATCTTATGAAATAGGAAAATGTAATTAGTTTTCCAGTTGAATCGCGCTAAATGTTTATCTTATTATGTTTGTTGTTTTGTAGATATGTCTGTATTGCAAGATTTACGAGCTTTACTGCTCGAAGCTGGTCAAGAGCTGCCTTTATTCCTTCGAGATATGGGTGGTCCGGAATTAGAGCCACCTAGTGATTCTACAAACGCTGACGACAAAGGCTGTGCATATTGCTCCGGGCTGGGTCATCGTATCACAAATTGTCCGAAATTAGAAAATGTTCAGACAAAGGTTGGTTATGTTGGTTTTGATTCTGTTTGTTAAGACTTACGTTTCAAACATGAAGCATACATTTAACTGTTAATAGGCTAATACTCTTTTTTACAATGAAAATAGTGGCTGTGTCTGATCGTTAGTTTCGTATCTGTCGAGTCCCGTTTTTAAAGTTAACGAAGCAAGAGAGAAGGAGACATTTAAGACAGATGTAGCCCGAAAGAATTTTTTTAGAATTGGACATTTTGGTCGTTATTGGTTCTGCTTGAGTTGCTCTATTTTTTCTACTGTTGTCTTACTGCAGTTCTCAAAAGTTTTTTTCAGACGGCAGCTTATCTTTCTCGTCCAGATTATGGAGGCGAAGAAATTTGACGGATTAAGTGTATTCGATCGTATTTCCTTCAATATATCTTTTGGAGCACTTCATGTTTTGGAATAGCAGAGTTAAAAATAAATAATTTTCAGTGAAACGTATTTTTCTTCATCGAAACAAAATTCATCTCGTAGCACCTGAAGTAGGCCAAAGCACATGTTAAATAGCAGGTTGGAATAGAACATTTTTTTCGCGAATGATGTTTCAATTTTTAAAACTCCTTCAAAAAGATGCTTTCTTTGTTCAATAATTTCAAAATTTTATTCGTTCTCTCAAGCAAAGAAGTCTTGGATTAATTGGAAGTGAACGGATTTGATAAAAATATATTTATGCTTTAAAATACAACTTGTATCATAGAAACTTAATTTTTGTGGACTAGAGGCTTCGTTCATCCTACTATTTCCAACTTACTTTAGTATATAAATTCCAGAACTGTATTCCAAGCGTATAATCGCTGCAATTTATGTGATAATTGTATGACTACAATAAACATATGACCTCGAGCGATAAAAATGTTCATTGTTTAATAATATTTCTTATAAAGGAACAACCAACAAATTACATGCCCATTTAGAGATTGAGAATTTCTTACATCTTTAGTCAGCTAATATGTTAAGATTAGACGACATCCATCATTTTGTTTAACAAGTATAATTTCTTCAGGTGTAGATAGCTTTGGAAAAAGATTTCCATTATTTTCATTACACCAAATATCCATTAAATACTAAGTTCTCAAAGAAAACAAAACATGAAATTCCTTATTGAGCAAGTCTTTGTCTCAATTTGTTTATTTTCTGTTGGTGTTCAAAGAAATGATACGACATTTTACAGCTTTGTTTCGAACAAATTAAGTTTGCAATATTTCTTGTTTAATTTTTGATAAACCAATAGGAAATTAAGAGAATGTAATTCTACAGAAAACCTATAAATTCAGTAAAATTCGAAATTTGATAATGTGATGGAATATTTATTTCTGTTTGAATGCAAAATCCTGAGTACCACCGAATTTTAGGACCAAAAAAATAAAGCGATTTCGGTTTCAAATCAAGGCAAATTTAGAATTAGATCATGTGTTTGATAAATTGATAAATTTTCAGTCTCTGGTTGTTTTTCTGTTCTTTGTATTCTATGAGAATGACTGCTTCTGCAAATGGTCACCAATATTTGTAGTGTTGTGCACAGCCGTGGCGCAATCATTTCCTATTGCTGATATGGTCAAATTTTTTAAAATTTTGTTCGGAATTTAACAAGTCTTGGTTTTAAAGTGTTTACTCATTATATTTATTATGCTTAATTGTCTTTATTTTAAATTGTCTATTCTAAAACAAAGTGCTATATGCTGGACGGTGATAAATTGATAATTCATTAAATCACATTATCCGATCATTTCTTTTAATTTAATAGTAATCGTATTAATTGATGAAATAATTTCTCATTAGAAAAGAATATGTGGGATGTAATCTCTTCATAAAACTTTTAAACGATTGTCTCACATAGCGCTTTTTTTAATCCAATGAATGAAAATGACAACATTCTTAAAAACTCTGATTTTTTCATAAATTGCTTATACTTAGCGCTGAAAATTTAGAAAGGAAATTTGGAACGATGTAAGAAAAAATAGAAAGTATCAATAATTTATTTCCTTGCAAGAAGATAATTTATATTTCACAGATTTCTGGCAATTTCTAATGGATCATCCATAATCTGAGTTTTGCAGTAAGCCATAATCTTTTTGAGAACTTCGAATTTGTTGAAATAATGGCATTTTTGTCTTCCTCATAACTCAATAAGTGACAATATTTGATACATAAATCATTTCAGATTTTGCATATCTTCCAAAGTTAACAGCTAAGGATGAATTTTTTTCTAGATTTCGCTCTGTATCCGATCAATTGTTAAGTAACAAAGGATATATCATGCATTTTACACTGTAAATTCGCGTTTCCAACTCCATGTTTTACGCTATACCTGTTCCTAACTTTCATCTGTGTTCATTACTATCTAAGCAAATTAGGGAATTTATACGAAATAATCCATTATTGAAAATACAGTAGCATCGCTAAAATCGTTGGTAATCGAAATAGAATAATTTTGGATTGAACAATATATCGTTCATTTTCTTCAATATCTATCATTTGTTTGTTTATTAATACTTATTTACTTATTTGCTAGCACAATGTTTTTCCGTGTATTTAATCCAAATTTGAAAGTTTCTACAAATTTGAACAATTTAACTTTCCATCATTTTCTATCATTTTTGTAAAATACCAAAAATTTGATATTTTAATTCGTTTTAAATTTGAAAAGTTCTTTTCGTAGAAAAGATCTTCAAAAACAAGTTTATTTCTTATAATTGCGATACATCGAAATAATATATGACATACTTTAGAGATGTTTGACCTATTAGACTAATTGGGTGACCTTATTTTCCGCCATTATCCGGAATCTAAGTATTTCATTCCTGGTTTGCAATCAAATATAAAAATATCGATCAGCTCAGCAATTTCTTTACTAAAGTACTTACTACTACTACTAATAAACATCGATAATTTCTTTATTTACAAATAATTTATAAATCATTAAATATTCGTAAACAGATAGGAAGGAGTGAAGAAAATATGATTACATCCATTTCAACTTCTTTAGCGATGTAACCGCGCTTCTTATTTTATTCTGTTTCCAAATTATGCTTTCCAAAGCGGATGATAAACACAGTGAAAATTCATGTCAAGCCATAAAATAAACAGTAAACTAATTTCAAGCCATAAATGTCAAGCCATAAGATAAACAGTAAGCTTCTATGCACTGTTTATAATATTGCTGTACATAAAGGCTATTAATTCTGCAACAATTATCCTAAAATAGAATTTAAGGAATCGAAAATTGGGTGGTAAAATTGTTTTTCTAAAATCTAAAATAAATATAATTAGGAAATAAATAGAATATCTAAGATATAAATATCTTGAATGATCGAAAAATTAATGTGCATATTGAATATTAAGTGCTTTCGAGCAGCAAACAATTTTTTTTCAAATTTAATTTCAAAAAGTTTTTCGCAAAATTTTTTTAGCTCCGACATTCTCGACATCAACATTATCACCATAAAAAGTCTTATAAGGAGTACACCTGATACTGATTTACTGGCACAACATTCGAAGAATAATCAAATGCTTCCTTATTAGCCTTGGCCATAGCTAAAGCGCTATAAGCCTAGTTTAGCCAATAGCTTCACCAAAATATAAGAGAAAAGTGCAAAATGGAAGGTGTACGATAAGTTTTTGATGCTTAAGAAAGTGAAATAAATTTGTATGAAGCGCTTTTGGACAATTTGTTCTAAATATAATTTTGAAATCAAATGTCATATTTAGTTCGCTGCCAGATCTAACTAAATTCAATAATACTGCATGGAAAATTGAGAGTTATTTTCGAGCATTGGCATTTGATGTCGATACCACATGAGCCGCCAAATTCCGGCTGGCACCAACGCTGCATGGTTGATGCGAACCAGAATTGGCCATTTTCAACTTTCTTTCTTGCTTCGAGTTGAATCAAAACAAATTTGCAGTTTACATAAGTAGCGCATTTGTGACATATCTAAATGATAACTAATTTATTTATTTTTTTAATTTAATTATTAAAGCCTTCATTCTTTAATTGCCACATACATATATTTTATTTTCTGTTCATAATCCATTCACCCGTTTCTTCACAGTAATTTATATTATAATCTTATTTTGAATGATTATTTTGCTGAAAAATAGGTACAAACTTTCAGTGCGATAAAAAGAATAATGAAAGTTTCACTTTTTATGCGAATTTTGCTGTTTTGAAAAGTAATTAGGAAATGTTGTGAAAAAGCAGTAAAATAGCAGTAAAAAGCAGTCATTAAGCACTTGTAAAACGATTAGAATTTGAATGGTAAAGAGGGTTTTATCCTTTTTATTCTCTTATGATAACTTAAATAAACATCTGGCAGTATTTTAGTTATGTCCAGGCCCAATTTTTAACCATTCGAACCTAAATAAACTTAGCATATGACAATTACTAATTTGGATAAAATAAAAGATACGACTTTTGGTAAGCTATTGTATTGACTTAAAATACAATCGTTGTTACGATATTCCGGAGTTGAATATATCTCTTTCTTCTAGTTTTGCTTCTCTAGAAAGAAGAAATTAGGAAATAAAATTATCCTTCCATTACTGTTAGTATCACTAAGTCTATCCCTTTCGGATCCATTGAGCAAACCTTTAATTCGAATCTTTAAAATTTATGATATAAACAATATAAATAAATGTTACTGATTACATAAAATCTGTGACGCATTGAGAAAACGTGACCCGGTCACTATACCTGTCACTTAACTTATTCTCACTTCAATCTATATATATGTATATATCAAGTTTTATTTCAATTAATGTAATTTATCTGCCCTGTTTATTGCATTCTGCATATATTGCTTGGTTACACTCATTTAAATGATTAATTTATTGAATTTTCATATGAATTAAAAGTTATCACAACGTTAATTTCTATATTTTAATATTTTACAGCATAATATTAAATTTGAAAGTAAAATAGTTTGAAATATATGAATTAAAATGTTATGTAAATGAAGTATTCAGTTCATTGGAAGTTACACTCCAATGCTCTTTGTTCGTAAAGATAAGGAGAAAGAGAGAGAGAGGGAGAGAGAGAGAAAAAAAAAGCTGTATAATAACCAGTCGTTTTCGGTAATAAAAAATTAGATCGTTTATTGATGAGGCAGCTGTTTAACGCCAAGCGCGGTTGATTATTCACTTACCGAAAGAAAAGACAGTTTCAGTTGTTTATGCCAGTTGTCGATGGTTTTTTTTCATGGCAAAAGTATGGTTGAAAAAGAATAATGAATAAGTGAAGATAAACATCATTTTGCATAATAATAGACAATTTCATTATAATGAATGTAATAAAACAATAGCTTAAAATTTTCCATCAAAAAAGCTTTTTAATCCAACAA